GCCGCCGCGCGCGCCGCGGCTGCCGGGCACCCCCCAGGGCGCGCGAGGCTCCTCCTCCTCCTTCTCCTCTGCTCCTGCTCCTCCTCCTCCTCCTCCTCCTCCTCCTCCTCCTCCTCCTCCTCCTCCTCCTCCCTCCCCTCCTCCCTCCCCCTCCCCCTCCCCCTCCCCCTCCCACTCCCCCTCCGCCCTCGCTCGAACATAAGCACAATGTACTCCCCCTCGTGGAAAGGGCCTCGGAGGATCGCGCCGCACCGCCGCATGGCATCGCCGACGCGGCTCTCTCGAAGAAGAGCAAGAACACAAGCAAACATAAATCTTCTCCTCCTCGGCCTCCTCGGCCTCCTCCGCTTCCTCCTCCTCCTCCTCCTCCTCCTCCTCCTCCTCCTCCTCCTCCGCGCGGATTTCTCGGATCCGCGACGGGGCCCCCTGGCGGCGCCGCCCCTGGCGCGCTCCGCGCGCCAGTGAGGGGGCCCAGCGCGGATCCAAGACATCCGCGCGGACCGTCGAACGTTTCTGTTCATGCTTTTTTTTGTTCTTCCTCTCGGGTCGACGTGGGGCCCGATTGGCGCGACGTCGACGTCGCCGATGCGTCGCCGACGTCGACGATGCCTCGCAGGTGCCTCACCAGTGCATCGCCGGTGCGTCGCCGATGCATCGGCGATGCGGCGCGATGCTCCGTGCTCCGTGCTCCGACCCCGCCAAGGAGGCCTCTATTAGAGGGGGGGGAATCGAGGCCCGACGGACGAGACGGCGGAGGGTCTTGGCGTCGAGCTGGGTCGGAGCCAGTCCAGGGACGGGGGGTCGGCCCCGAGAAGACTCTGGAGGGGGGGGGGGACAAACACACACAGGCACAATGAACCGTCGATCTCCAGGAAAAGATGGGGAAATATGGGCAAGGGGGGGGTGGCGAAGATCCTGGAAACATTGGGAGATATCGGGGCTGCTGGGATTGGTGTCCGTTTAACTCTTTGTGTGCCCTTGGGCCCCTCCAGAGACGTGCATCGGGCCTGCTGGGCACCATTCGACATCACGCCAACGTCCCAGCGTGCCGAGGGCACGATGGCGACCCTACCAGCGCACGCGGCATGGCGCTCGAGGCTCGACGTGTTTGGTCGTCTTCGGCCCTTGCTGTGCCTGCGAGGGCGGGAATGGGAGGAGGAGGCGGAGGACGAGGAGGAGGAGGAGGAGGAGGAGGAGGAGGAGGAGCAAGAGGCGGAGGAGGACGAGGACGAGGAGAACGAGGACGAGGAGGACGAGGACGAGGAGGACGAGGAGGACGATGATGAGGAGGAGGAGGAGGAGGAGGAGGAGGAGGAGGAGGAGGAGGAGGAGGAGGGAGGAGGAAGAGGACGAAGAGGAGGAGGAGGAGGTAGGAGGAGGCCGGAGGGGAGGAGGAGGAGGAGAGGAGGAGGAAGGGGAGATGGGGAGGGGGATGGGGAGGAGGGGGAGGAGGAGGGGGAGGGAGGAGGAGGACGGAGGATGAGGAGGAGGAGGAGGGAGGAGGAGGAGGAGGAAGGAGGAAGGAGGAGGAGGGGGAGGGGGGGAGGGGGCAGGAGGAGGTTTGGAGGAGGAGGAGGAGGACCGAGGGAAAGGAAGAGGAGGAGGAGGAGGAAGGAGGACGAGGAAGGGAACAGAGGACGGGAGGACGAAGCAGGAGGAGGAGGAGGAGGAGGGGGACGAGGAGGAGGAGGAGGAAAAGAGGAGAGGAGGAGGAGGAGGAGGAGGAGGAGGAGGAGGAGGACCTCGGAGACTTCGCAGGGGGGGCTCCAGAGGCCTCTGCGGTGCCGCGGGGCCTGCCGCCCTCGCCGGCGTCGCCGCTCTCCCCTGCCCTGCCCTGTGCAAGCAATGGCTGGTTGGGTCAAGTCGGGCGTTGACCTCCTCCACCCCCCCTCCCCCTCCACCTACCTCATCCCCCTCCTCTCCTGGAGGGGCTCCTCCTCCACCTCCCCCTCCCCTCCTCCTCCTCCTCCTCCTTCCTCCTAATCACTCCTCCTCCTTCCCCCCTCCTCCTCCTCCCCCTCCTCCCCCTCCTCCCCCTCCCCCTCCCCCCCTCCTCGCGCTCGGGCGCGGTCGGGCTCGCCCGTCTGGGTGGCGCTCGGGCGAAGTCCTGCGGGTCGAGGAGTGCTCAAACATAGTAAAAAAACAAAACAAATCGCCTGGATGTTTCGAGTCCTGTTTTGAGGTGCTTTGGCATGTTTGGACTAGTGTTTTACGTCTCGTCCGAAGTCCGCCTGTAGGGGGGGCATGCCCGACCTCCTGGTGGGGCGGCAGCATCGAGCCAGCGATCCTCAGGCATGGTCCCGAAGAGGTCCCCGCGCCCTCCTCGTGCACCTTCTCAGCTCAGGCAGGCCCAGGACAGGGGTCCAATCTTGCTAGAGCGTTCCGAAGCGCTTCAAAAGAGTGCGTTCCGCAACGGCCGCGGCGCCCGATGCATTCACCAGACCCTTTCTCAGAGATCCCAGATTTGCCTAACTAGTATGAGGAACATCGAATCTTGCCAGAGCTTTCCGGAACACTCGAAGAGCGTTCCGGAACGGCCGCGGGGCCGAGATATTCTCCAGATTTTTTTCTCTGAGGTTCCAGATTGCCTGGGATGCGGATAAGTCTTTACAGGACGTTCTGGAACGCTCAAGGAGCGTTCGAGAACGGCCGCGGCACCCGACACAATCTCCAGGCCTTCGAGATCCGAGATTCCAGATTGCTCTCCAATCCCATTTTGTCCTCATCTCGCCCTCCTTTCTCGCCGTTGTCCCACCGCTCTCCGCCCGCCTCCCCGATGCGCCGTCCAGGGCCGCCAGCTCTCAAGAGGCCGCTTGCTTCCCAGGGCAGTGGTGGGCGCGACCAGAGGGAGGGGGAGCCGGCAGCCGGGCGAGGGCTGCGAAAAATCCGTGGCTGCTACAATCGACCTCGGGGAAATCGTCTCCGCCCTTCCAGGACGACGCCCGTTGATCTGCACGCCCGAAATGGGTACTGAAAGAATGGGTACAATGCCCAACAACAATTCCTGTTCATTTTGGACAGGACTTGCTGTCCACGCCGCCGCGGCCTGTGTCCATTCGAGACAGGAGGTCGCCCGCCCAACAGCGGCCGCTGTTGGTTTGGGACAACATTTGCTGTTGGGCATGGTGCCCATTTTTTCGGTACCCATTTCGGGCGTCCAAAGTTGACCGTTTCGCGTGCCGCGCCTCATTCCGGGAGGTTGTTTTTCCTTCTGGGAAGGCCGTTTTAGCAGCCACGGTTTTAGCAGCCCTCGCCCAGCTCCCGAGGGAGGGGGAGTGGAGCAGGGCCGGTCACGCCACGGTGCGTGGCGGCGCCGTCTGGGAGTGTTTCTAGGAGTGGGTCACTTCCACACGGCGCCGGCGCGAATCGTAAGGCAACCAGGGGAGGGTCGGGCATGGCCAGGACCCCAGGTAAGGTGACCCGGTTAGTGGTAGGGCCCCGGAGCCCCTGAAGTAGCCAGGATCACTAAGCCAGGTCTGTCGTATATAGCTGATGTTTTTCGGGTGGCGGCAGTTCCGGTGAGTGGACTGGGGCGGGGGGGCGTCCCCCAGTGCACATCACTAAACCAGGTCCAACGAGACCCAGTTCTGCCAACGCCCGAGGTCACTTCCACACGGCGCCGGCGCGAATCGTGAGGCAACCAAGGGGGAGGGGAGGAGGAGGAGGAGGAGGAGGAGGAGGAGGAGGAGGAGGAGGAGGAGGAGGAGGAGGAGGCAGGAGGAGGAGGAGGCAGCCAAGGGGAGGGCCGTGCACGGGCGCCACCGCCCGGCGGAGAGAGAGCGGGCATGCTGCCGCGCAGCCGCCCGGCGGCGGCCACGAGCGCGCGCGCGCGCGAGGGTGTTTGGACCAGGTGGGAAGGCGAGGATTAAGTCGGGCGTGTCCCCCTACAGTCGGGGGAGCGTAAGACCCGGATTTGCCGGGACTCGGGTTCGCCATCGTTTTTTGACGACCGCGCCTCGGATTTTGACGAGTAGGAGTTTTGTGGGATGTCTGCAGCGGGAGGCCTCGTCAAAATGCAGGCTCGGCCTCGTCATTTTTTTGACGACCTCGTCGGGGATTTCCGAGTCCCCCGTACCCGGGTCTTACGTCTCCCCGAATGGTGTTTGGACCAGGTGGGAAGGCGAGGATTAAGTCGGGCGTGTCCCCCTACAGGGGGATTTGCGACGAAAAATAAAAGATACCCCAAACATAGTCAACAAAATAGTCCAGAAATAGTCCGGGGACTGTTGTTTGAGTAGTTGTTGCCCTTTTGGGGGGGCATTTTTTAGAGTTTTTTTTTTTTGTTCGTTGAAGATCCCCCTGTAGGGGGATCTTCGACGAAGAATTCACGGGGAACAATGAACGTGGAATCTGGGGAAGAATGAACGTGAACAATTCGATGAATCTGGAATTCACGGGGAATCTGGGGAAGAAGGAATCTGGAATTCCCGGGGAACAATGAACGTGAACAATTCACGACAATTCACGGGGAAAAATTCACGGGGAGCCATTCGATGAAGCATCCACGGGAACGTCGAAGACCAGGGGGGAAGGAAAATTCACGTGAACAATGAACGGGGAATCTGACATCGGCAACTGGAACGTATACATTACCGGTGGATCCAACTTACCCCCTCGTCTCAGAGCGTGAATTACCTACCCCGCTTTCGCTTCCAGGCGACACCAAGCCATACCACGCGCCTCCTCGTCAGGCGGCCTGACCAGTATAGGCTGCAATTTGGCATCTTTCGGTATCTCCTGAAAGCGAGGGTGGTCAAAAGCGAGGTAGGTTTGTTTCCCCCTTATCGTCTGCTCTCCCCCCTGACCCCCTCCCCCCCGCACTGCACGCTCGTCGTAGTCTGTTTCACCCCGCGCTGCCTCCCGGCCTTTGTGGGCGGCGTCCTCCGCCCGGGGGGCGTCAGGGGCAGGTTTTTTCATGGGGCTTCCTGGCCCCCTGCACCCTCCAAGTGCAGACCCACATCTTCCTTGTCGGAAGCTGGAACATCTACACTGCCAGTGGC